TGTGGTGTGGTTGGGCTGCAGCTTAGGACAGAATAGGACAAATAATAGTTGAACAACAGAGCACCTTAAATGTAAGTCTGAAGACTATCTAGGCAAGAAAGGAACTTTTAGTTTCAAACAAGTAACATTTAGATTTTAGATGTATTCCATTTTGAGAATGACCTGGCAGCAAAATAGGATACAGTGCTAAAGGGAGAAATAGAAATGACTTGATCTTGGGTGGGATCCAGGCACAGTTAGTGAGAAACATTGACAAAACAGTCGTAAGTACTGACTTTTTTTTTTTTTTTTTTTTTTTTTTAAGACAGTGCAGTTTATTGTTCAGGGGGCCAGAGCTGAGGGAGGAGGGATGCACAGCTACTACCCCCATGCCCCAAGAACATACACTATATTCCCACAGAGTAGGGAGGAGGCTCACCCTGTCCTCTGGGCTGACTTCCATTTTGACTTACTGTTCTAAATAGCTTTTAAGCTTCCTGAACCAGGGGCCCTGTTCTCCAGAATCCTGAATATGTATCCCCAAAATGTCTTGAGTTCTACAAAATCATGCATAAAATTAAGGCTTATGGGAAAAATAAGTCTTAAAACCTATGGAACTCTAAAACCAGAACTCTAATAAACAAAAACAATTCTAATAACAAATATTAGTGCACCTGAGTCTCTACCAGCATTTTTACACATAGGGTCATCAGGTGGACCACCTTTTTCACAAGCATGTTCTAGGGCTCCTACTTCCTCAGATACCTGGTTCAAATGGAACCACTCATTGAAATGAAATAAATATCCAAAGTTAGCCTTTTCTATACACAGGGAAATGTCACCAACCTCTACATTGTTGTAACCTGTGAGCTTTTAAAATGTCTGTTTGCATAATGGGTATTTCTAATACGCTGCTGGCCTAATTTTGGCTAAATGCCTATGGAATAGTTAATTATGGTAGAGGTAGTTTAGCCATTCATGTGATCCTAGTTCATGATAATGGAGCGGGGGAACAAGCGCCCCAAAACAGCCTCAAAATACAATTCACAAAATAAAACTCTTCATTCTTAGATTTAGGGACCACTTGAGAGGTTCTCTGGATAACTTTGTTTTTACCAGGAGAGAAGTGTTCATCTGTAGTGACTTGTTCCCAGAAGCAGGCCTTAGCCAAGGGCAGTTTTAAGGGTAAAAGGTGAAACACAAAGGGCAATTTGGGGCCACTGGCTATAGGGGACTAGCTATGTACCTCCACCCTCCAAAGGCATAACTGAATTGCATAGAATTTGAACAGCATTTTTAGTTTACACACTCTTACATCTCCCCAGTGGGAAGGATTTGAGAAAATACTTCTATTCCAAATGTTTGAAACATTAATATCTAAGAAAACAAGTCTGAGAAATGGCTTTTCGACAATGCCAGGTAAATGGTGTTTTATTCTAATAAACATCTAACATATGGAAAGAGGAGCAAGGTCTGTTAGTGTAGCAGGAGTGCTTATGTGAAGGTGGTCAGGTTGGACCAGAGAAGAATGTCTTCCCTTTTCAACACTCAGCACTGGCTTTGGAGTTTGAGTGTGATTCCAGCCTAATTCTGCAGTCTGGTGGGTGGACTAACCTCCTTTTATAAATCTTTTCTTTGGTCTCAGCTCTGGCTTATCCGAAACATTGAACGCTTACTTTCATCTGTCTTGTCACTAAAGTGACAGACTGCCATCTTTTTGTATATACAAAGTTTAATATACTCAATAAGGTAGTTGAGAGGGAATTTAAAAACCTATGAATGACCATATATGGTTCTGTTAGCTGTTGGTTTATCCTTACTGAATAAGCTTTTATAGCCTTTGTTACTTCAGTAATATCATTTTCAGAGCATTAGTTAGCATCCTAATGCTATATTATAGATCCTAGTAGATTGAGGATGTTCTAGAAATGTTTAGATGGCTTTGGGGGTGACAATTGAATAATACTTTGGGATGTGGTTCTATAGGTTTAGGTTCTTCAGTGTGTTGGAGGGGTTTTAATTGTTCTTGTCTCTGCTTATGCTACTCGGATTCATTTCTTCTGCCCTGGCAGACCCATGCCATAGTTCTGTCTACTCTTGTCTATGGAGTATATCCCTCGGTTCTTGCTTTTTCATTACCACCCTCGCTTGCCCTCTGCTCCACACACAGATGTGGCCATGACCTCATTTGAACCCCGAATGAACTGCTGAAGATGAGTAGGCAAGTACTTGATGAAACATACTGGTTTTCAAACCTGTACCATCACCAAAGTCTCCTTATCACATCTCTTAGGCTAGTAGTTGAGGCATTGATTATTTTTGTACACAGGTATTAATAACTCATTTAAGTTGATCATTTTTGGAAAGATGCATGTCAAGTTAATAGTTTAATCCAATTTGATCATTTTGGGATGTCAGCACACAAAAAGTTCTTGGTTTCAGCTAAATCATTTGTCCAAAACTAATATGGATCTGTTTTCTTGATGCTTTCTAAACAGTAATTTATGAAGGGAGATGTTGAACCATGCAGGAGCTCCATGTCACTGACTTTGGAAGAGAAGTTTAGTCATATGTTAATGAAGTCCTGTAGATAAAGATTTGCTATTAAATTGGAAGCTTAAGTATTAGTTTCAGAAAAGCAGGCACAGACTATATTAATGGGTTTTTCAACATTATTAACCTTATGTAATTTAGCTTTTATCTTGGACAAATGGGAATATAACTGTCATTGACCTAGATACATGACACTGAACTTTATTTTTTTCAGAACTCAAACATTATGAATATCTATGGTTTTAAAACTGCCTAGTTACTAAGTGAAGATGTACTTTTCCGGTGGCTAGCCACCTGCATCATTCTGACCTATTATGAAGGTAATCAAGGAAGTTGCTTAGAGAGCATAGAATTGTGTAGTAAGAATTTCATTCAGGCAATAGAAACCAGGTTATCCCTAACACACACCTAGTGACCAGGAAGAGGCCTCCAACTCTGCAATCAGGACCAGTACTTTTCCCTTGTTGCAAGATATAATACTTGTGTGTACCTTAAACATTTTTGTTTTAACTTAAAAACTTAGGTTCATTTGCCAGTCTTTTTTTTTTTTTATATGTCTTTACTGAGTTCAGGGAGAGAGAGAGAGGGATAAAAATCATCAGTGTTGAGAGAGTCATTGATTGGCTGCCTCCTGCATGCCTGCTGCTGGGGATCGATCCTGCAACCTGGGCATGTGCCCTGACTGGGAATCTAACTGCGATCTCCTGGATCATGGGTCGATGCTCAACTGCTGAGCCATGTCTGCTGAGCCATGCTGGCCGGGCCATTTGCCAGTCTTAATATAGGGCCAAAGCCTTTGTATACCATAGATTCTTGCTAGATTTGCTTATTCTGGCTCTTTAGTTTCCAGTTTTGATATGCAAGCCCTATTTGTTAATACTTAAGAAAGCTTAAATTTAAGACCTTTTTATTTTACCCAAATTGCTGCGTTTGGACTTGATGGTACCCTCAATGTCAGCCATTAGTACTTTAGCTATGGCTTTGTCAGCCATTGTCTTAATCTACAGTGCTGTCTCTGGACTTGCCACTGTTTTGTCAGTTATATATACACTTGAAGGAATGATGCTAGTGGGAGCAACAGAGTCCTATTCAGATCAAGAATGAGAGAAACAGCCCTAGCCAGTTTGGCTCAGTGGTTAATCTGTTGGCCCGTGGACTGAAGGGTCCTGGGTTCAGTTCTGCTCAAGGATGAGTACCTCAGTTGCAGGCTTGGCCCCGGTCAGTCTGGATGTGCGGGAGGCAGCCAGTCGATGTGTCTTTCTCACATTTATGTTTCTCACTCTCCTAATCTCTGAAGGCAAAAAAAGAAAGAATGAAAGAAACAATGTTCAGATCCATTGAACATTAAATGATCACTGTTCTGGGGTGATGGTGTGTCCATAGGCAAAGGTGTCTGTTTTTTTTCAAACCATGTGCCTGAATAGGTATTACCATACCTTCTGTTTCAAACATTTTAGAGGTTTGGGGGGAAAGCTGGGAGTTGCCAAACTGCTGTCAGCCTGGAACTTTCCAGTTGGGGCAGGTTGAGTTCCTGGCAGCTTACTCAAGTAGGAGGTGAATCCTGTGCTGTCTGTGAACTTTTCAGGTCAGCAGTTCCTCTGGCAGGAGGGAGGGAACTGGGTAGATAGAACTACTGGCATGCATGTCAAAAAAAATCAGGACCCACACAGCAGATTAAACTTTGCCCTAAATTGATTTATCTGGTGAGAACTGTTTACATTTACTTGAAGGCAATATACTAAGGTAATTTTACAAACATTTTTGTTCAGGTTAGTTAAGACATCTGTTATCTTCATAAACATCATTTGGTTATTTATCATAGACCTTTTTTTTTTTTTTTTTTAACTTGGGTGAATTTCAATCTATCCTAGCCCACAAATTTTCATTTATAAGATGAATATGTAAGCTTGTTTCAGGTACTGTTAAAAAAGTGAACCTCTAGGATACTCTGTGATAACAGTTGTTGTTTTAAGTGTTTGCACATTTCAAGCTTAATGCTGTTCTTGATTGGGGACTGCAGACCTTTCCTGTAAAGGGCCAGATATTTTATGCTTCGCAAGCTTTATTATCACTGTCACTACTACTCAACTCTAGTTGTAGCACAAAATCATTCACAGACGATACGTAAAAAATGAATGAGTCTGGGTTCTCCTAAAATTTTATTTATGAACATTGAAATTTGAATTTCATATTATTTACATATATAAAAACCATTTTTAGCTCACAGACTGTACAAAAACAGGCAGTAGGCCATAGCTTGACAACCCTTTGCTAGAACATAAATTAAAACTGCCTATTCTTGCCCAGCTGGGCATGGCTCAGCGGTTGAGCATTGGCCTAGGATCTAGCAGATCGTGGTTCGATTCCTGGTCAGGGCACATGCCCAGGTTGCGGGCTCGATCCTCAGTCGGGGGCGTGCAGGAGGCAGCCGATCAATGACTCTCTCATCCTTTATGTTTCTATCTCTCCCTCTCCCTTCTTCTCGTTGAAATCAATAAAGATATATTTAAAAAAACAAAACAAAACTGCCTATTATCAAAATGGAGCAACTTCTGCTAATTTATATAGGTTTAGAATATGAAGGGTGCCTCTTTCCGGCTAATCTTAAGTATAAAAATGACAAGAATTCTTTATGTATGCAGCATTGGCTTTACATGAATATTCCTATTCCTTTCTCATAGCACGTGTTATCTCCTGAGTATTCTTACATTTTATAGATGAAGGAACAGGGTGACCTGCCTATGGTTACATATCCTTAAATTTGGAAGAATAATAAGGTTCTGTAACTAAAGAATTATGAATCTGACCACAAGCGCTCAGTGTATATAGCTCTGGGGCTATTAAACCAAGTCTCAGTTTTTATCCTTTGTTAATATCTAAGAATTAGAGTTTTACTAATTGAATCTGTTAGTTTAAATTCACAGAGACAGTGTTTACAAAGGCTGTCAACTGTTTTTCTTATGGTATAATGTGTACCCCTAATAATGTTAATGAAATTTAAAAGTGGGTTAATCTAGAAGAGATTTACAATCTTGTAAAGGATTGAGAATGTCACTTATATGGATAGTTCTTCTTAGGCTGGGAATATAAGGTTACCATGGGTCTTACAGGTGCTATTGGTGAGCAGCAGTCGGTACCCAGACCAATGGATTGTCCCAGGAGGAGGAATGGAGCCTGAGGAGGAGCCTGGCGGTGCTGCCGTGAGGGAGGTTTATGAAGAGGTGAGGTGAACAGTATTGTCTATTTTCTCCTTCCACACAGACTGTATTTTGGGTTTTACAGGACAGTCTTCTGGTTCACAAACAAGGCACTTTGTTACATACACTAGGAGAAGGCAAGAAGGCAGGTCACATGAGTGATATTTTTGTTGCCTAGTTTAACATTTTTAAGCACATGACTTTATCTAGCATTTTGCTAAGCAGATATTTTTCCTACCCGGTAAAATAGAGCTAAACTCAGTGTGGAACATGGAATTGCGTAACAAACAATCAGTCCGATCAGTGATCAGTATATAACATGATGGCCTTGCCCAGAGCAAGGTTAGTATTACACTGAGTGAATACATACAGAGACATTAATCATGTGGTATGATTCTTTTTCAAATGAATGAGAAACAAATTGCTTTTATTTTACTTGTTTCATCTGAAAGTTAACACATGCGTACACACATGCACAAAAGCAAACATGGCCTACTTCTTAAACCTGATGATATACAACTTGCTTTTACTCACAGGCCAAACAGCGTAGTAAGTGCCATAAAAGGTTATTGAACAGCAGAGTATAAATGGGAACGTAATACTAAAGCTCTCCTTTGGGCCTTGGTGTGTAGCTGGAGAGGTTTCATAGAGATGGGTCCTGAAGGATGAGTGGCTTCTTGAGGGAAGAACACATCTGAGATAGAGAAGATAAGCATGTACCAGTCTATTAGTTCACAGTGTGGATTTGAATCGAGGGCACATTGAAGATCCAGTCTTTTACTAGGTAAGCGTAATGAGGACTCTGCAGTAGAAGTAACATGTAGAAAAAATTGTACCTCCTGAGATGTGTGGATAAAGGAAGAGATAGGCCTTGAAGTAAGAAGGGGGAAGAGTACTTATCAGTTCAGAGAAAATTCTGTTTCCAAAATTCAGGAAGATTATCCCCAGTTTATAGGAAGTTAATTTTTGGTCAGTCCTTGCCATTTCTTACAAAATAAATGACAGTTAGTCTGATCAACAGGAAGTTGTGAATGAAGTGGTGTATTAATAGCAAACCACACATCGTGAATCTTTGCACAGCTCCCCCCCCCCC